TCTTTGATTATTAGCCATAGTTTGTTTGTCTGCAGCGTGCAATATATAAGTGACACAAAAAAAGTCTTTTTTTTTTGCTTCGTTCTTCCTTTTCAGATAGTTCAAAACTGAAAATAAACTTTTGAATGCTCCCTAACACCTCACAACATTCCTCACCATAAGCCTGGGCACAAACTCCAAAGGGGAATGCTCTTGAAAATGTCAGGGAAAGTATACACATCACAAACTCACAAATTGTTACACGAGCGTGACCACACACACACACCAAAAGGACGGCCAAAGCCACACGCTCACACAGACAAACACACACGGGGGGAAAACTGTCAGCCGCAGTCTCGACAAAACCTCAGAGTTCCCACCAAACCGTGGTCGCCACTAGACACAACACTCCACAAGTTGGTTGAGCTCAAACCTCGGTTGCAACCTGCTTGGCACAAAGATCCAGCTGCACGGCATATGAAACATGGGCACCTGAGTTTTGAAATGCAGATTAAAGAAAGGTGTGCTGTTAGATGACCTTATCTTTAAGCCAACTGAGTACAGAAACGAGGAAGTCGTGTGAGCAGATCACACCATTACAAACCATATTGCTCATCATAAAATCCAACCCTGTATTTCAAGAAAACTAGCCTGAATCAGACAGCTGAGAAAGCTATTGATCTGAGACTACAGACAGGAAAGCAAACGAGACTGACTCTAAAAAGATAAAAGTAGAGATATATCCAGCCCTTTTGAACTAAGATGAGACATGATTCAGGTCACAGTGATTGGATCCATCTCTCCATGCCAGAAAATGCCTTGGACAAACCCAATGGGATTTCCTATGACAACAGGCGCTCATGAAAAGCTTTCCTGCTATACGATATTTTAAGCAGAACTTTTAGGACAGAGGTTTGCATGTAACTAACTTTAGCACTGGCAGAAGTCACTCTTATGCAAATGGAAAAATACTAACTCTTGGGTTTATTTAATGGGGGGAAAAAGTCTAAAGATGCAATGAGAAAGGTCCAAATCATCTGGTAGTTCATATCTACACTTCACTTCTGTTTCTCTAAATATTCTGAAAAGTCAGCTCAAGGGAGAAAGTAAATTAACATATGCCACTATAGGTCTAACCATAGTATACAAGTCTCGCTGTGCAGCTGGTTAGAGGTTTGTCTATACATGTTTCCAGGAAAAAACACAGGCCAGGAAACACAGCCAATCTGCCGAGCCACATAAAACACATTAACCAATCATATGCGCACTTCCTGAGTGACTCTAGACAGTCTAAATCATACAAGTAAGCAAGCCTGATTACATGATATGTTAACTTAAAAAGTAAGATCAATTGTCTGCAAAGAATCTCATCATGTCAAAACATTTGAAACAGAGAAACAAAAGGTTTCTCCATACTAGACGGTTTGTTATGGAAAAGCTATATTTAAAATACTGAAGGGTTTGGGATGAATTTAGTAGAGCAATAACTGCTACATATCTCACTAGCAGGGTTTCCATGCAAACGTGAGGCGAATTTTTTCAAAGTTTAAAAAAAAAAAAAAAAATTCCGAATTAGGTGCGTTTCCATCAAGTTGTTTAAGCGGATGACGTGGTATTGTTAACCTAGTAACGAACAGTAAATAAAACACCATCAGCGGAAACAGTAGTGATGTGTCGTTCGTGAACAAGTCGGCTCTATGAGAACCTTTTCCCTTTTTGTGTATTAATACAAGACAGAATAATAGGTCAAGTAGTCACTAGCTGAATGTTATGTTGATGTGTGTGTGCATGCAATCACGTGTGATGACATTACCCCACCGCTCTCGATTCGTCGTACATACAAAAGGCAACACATACAGTCACTGCATGGAGTGCGTGTGGTCGAGCAGTGTGGGGAAAAGATCATCCTTAATATCGGGTCAAAAAACAAGATAAGTAACAAATCCAAATCCAAAGTAAGGAGCAATATGGTTGCATTTTAAAAACAGACAACAAAGGCAAAACGTAGAATTTGTAAGGTAAAACTATCATATCGAGCAGGGAAATTACAACCTTATAAATGTGTTCTGTTTTAAGTGTGATTTGCTTGGAATGGTTTCATTTTGGACAGTTCAATATAAATAAAATGTTCAATACACGTGTAATAGTGTTTGATGGTTTTTTTTTATCTCTTATTACTGAACTGAGCCAAATGATCCGGTTCCCTAAAATGAGCCGTAATTCCCATCATGACGAAACAGCCGATTAGTAGGGTTTAATGTTCGCTACGTCAGAATTTATTCGGCAAATGTGTTTCCATCCTCCATTATTGCCATTAACTCTTTTTTCCACAAGTTAAAACCCATCTCAAGCAAGCGGAAAAACTTTTTTGCGAATCAACGGATTTTTTTTCTTGAATTTTGACGTTTCCGATGCGATACTTCAAATGCGCATAAAAATAGAGTGATAGAAACATAGCTACTGACTACTACTTATGCTAACACAGAGGGGAAAAAGCAAAAAACGATATGCAAAAAAAACATCCAAATAGTTTCTCACAAAAAAGAAACACCCATGGCATGTTCTTGCCAATGGAACAGTGAATCATACCTTGCAGCGAAAGAGAAATTATACACCAACACCTACGCTCAGCCACCCTGACCCAGACCCTCCTTTGAAAAAATAATAGCACCCACCGCCACCCTCCCAAAGCGCTGGCTAATTGCCCATGTGGGTCCCTTAAACTTCATACACTGAAAGAGACAACAGAGAGCCCGGTTCCAGATGTGAGACCCACATGTGGCAAACTGTTGATATAATGAATAACGCAATTGGAAAAAGGCACCAAAAATAGGCCACTTATTGGCCTACAAGGCAGACAGACAGATATCGTGCTTAGCTGCGCAAGAGTTGACGCCAAACAGAGTGCCAAAGTGCAATCAACTGATGCAACGGTGTATCTTTTTGCATAAACCCTAGTCAGAAGCACATTGGAACTTTAGCAGCAGAAGTTTAAATAGCTACAATGTAAACTGTTTTTCTGTGATCTAGGCCAAAATGTGTTACAGAAAAAAGAAAAAGAAAAAAAAACCTCAAACCTGATCACAGCAGTATGGCAGTGACTTTATACCATGACAATACTATTAACCGGCAGGTAAAATAGCTGGACTTAATCCCTTGGGTGGCAAAGTAGCGATTCAAAAGAAAGGGGCCGATCTCATTGCTCCAACACAAAGCCTAGGTGACCTGGGCGGGGAACACCGTGCCTAAAAAGAACCATTTGATACGGCACAAAGACTAACCGTACTGCTCATTTCCGTTTGTATAAACTCTTTTTACCTACTGTTTAAGTACAGTCTAATCTTAAACTAAAGGGTTGGGTGATGGTCAAAATGAATGAATGTACCTCACCTACAAGTTGGGAATATCTACCCATGAAGCACTTGTAGGAACTGGAACACCCTGGATCAATGAAAACAACTAAGATTGGATACTTTCTGTTACCTTTAAAATCCCAATCTGTTTGGAGCTGACATGAGTTAGTAAGCATGCGCAGAACCCCACCTCTGCACGCCTACACGAAAACGCAGACTTGCGTCCCAGACACGACGCACAACATGGAAAACTTCTACCATACCATAAGAAGGGTTACTTTATACTGCAGACCAAATGAGGGGGAGGACGAATGGAAGAATTAGCTAATGGTTTAATGCATAAGACCACGACTTCAGCGTTGGTGGAGCTCAGACACCCAACAGAGGCTGAACTGACATGAACTGGCAGCATTTTTCCATACAAACAGATGAATATTAACCAGATTAGTATGAATCAAGTGGTTGTAAGGCACAGATTACAATGCAAGACTACCACAACCGGTTTTATTCTACAGTTTTATGATAATAGATGAGCAAGTGAGGGCATTACAACTACTCAGATGAGTTGGTATAAAAACTGGCATCAACTCAATATCTCCTTGAGCTGAAATCTTAGACATGTTATTTATATATTAGCCTACATACTGTAAAATCTAAAGTAAAAAAAATGATAATGTTCCTGCCTATTTAAGGGTTACAGAAAAGTGTTTTTAGCTTTTCAAACAACCAGATCAAGCAAGTAAAAGTGATTGTCATTGTCAGCTTAACCAAAACGAGCCCCCATACAAAGTAAACAAAGAAAAGTAGTACTTATTTAGCGACATGGAGGCAAGTAAAGCATTCATATGAAGTTTAACTTTACACGTTTAAACACAACGCTCTATAAATGAACAACGCAACAGTAAACACAAACAAAGCAGAAATGTGAAATATCTTGTGTAAAATCCTCCAACACACGCAGAGAGGCGCTGTGATGGGATGCCACTTTCTCAGGGCCAAATGGCTGAAAGTTGCTCGCAAATGGTGGATGCCATACTGGATCAACACAAGCAGCTATAAAGCCATTTTAAACACCTTTACATTTACCCATAAAGCGTAAACACCTGGAAGCTTGATAAATACGTGTACTATGTGAATCACATCTAAAACAGCCAAGACTGTCACAGTTGGGACGGCTCAAAAGTTGTGAAAACTCGTGTGTTCCAAATAACGATTTTAGTCCCTATATGCGCACCTTTTCGGGTAAAGTTAAGCTAAAAAGACAGAATGACAGCTAGACGAAGAAAACTGTAACGTTAATGTCCTAAGTTACAATGTCGGTAAGTTATAGCCAACACAAAACAGACGACTGATCAAAACCCCATTAAAACTAACTTTGTCAACTAGCTAAGTTACCTGGTTGTGCTTACTTTCAACTTTACAAGCCTTTCAAAACAACACTGCATACTTCTACACTTGTCCGAGTTAAGTCGTTTTAAATACGAATATTACAAACACATCACCTAATCTAAGGAGAATTAGCGGGATGCATAACGTTATGCAGAGAGAAACTCACCTAAAACAACAAACAACTCACTAAAATTGCTATTAGCCTCTTGGTTTTCTTATTACAGCAATCTAAAGTTGGATTAAATCGACCTGGTGTTGTTGTTGTGTGGGAAAACTTACCCGTATCGCCCGGGGTCTTCATGTTGGAGAGTATAGCCGCTTCGTTAGCAGTCGAGCTAACTGAGAAAGAGAGTGAGTGAGAAAGATAGAGAGAGAGATGAAATTAACTTCTTCCTCTCGGTGAGCTCAGGATCGCACACAAAACTCCTCTGTAAACTTTTCCTCCTCAAATCCAGCCCCTTCGCTCGTCCTCCCCCGGTTTGTTTGGAGTTTTCGTGTTTTGTTTGTCCTCCCCAACGTGGAGGACGTTGTTGCCTTGTGGCCGGACAGACTCGCTCTTTTACGGTCAGATATCGGAGCGCGTCGTGCCGATGGAGGAGGACCGTGTCCGTGCTGAACTCCTGATTACTTCATACACGCTTCGAAGTTGCATATTCAAGCCTTTACGTTGAAACACGAGGCGAATCAGACAAAATCAAAACAAACTAGAAGGCAGAAATGCCCGATCCACTTTTCTCCCTCTCTTTCCACGGACTTTTTCTTTTTCCACTCACTCCGTGCAACTCTCTCTCTCTCTCTCCCGTCTGCCCCCTCCTCCTCCTCTTCTATCGGGGTGTCGTGTTTCGTTCTTCCAGCCACACGGGGCCGCCCACGCTAAGCGGGGGAGGTCGGGGCGGAGAGCCCACGTAGCCACGCCCCCTCGCCGTTTGTCCGGGACTGGCGTCACTGGAGCGTTGCTGCGGAGACCGCCAACGCCGTCCGAACATAGCGAGGTGTCGATGACATGTTGTCCCACAGATACAGACCGAAAACCAATAAAAGCTGTCGACAGTGGTGGTCTCGCGTTCCTCAAAGTTGACACTGCAAAAAATTAGCTTTGTATTAAGGGTTGTTGTGTCACTTAAGCAAGTGAATAATAGTTCACCCAGAAAGTGAAAATCTGTTGTTATTTACTCATCGTCATGTTGTTCCAAACCCAAATGTCTTTCTTTCTTCAGTGGAACTCTGTTTGAGAAGTTCAGCAGAATATCAGCTGCTGTTCTTACAGTGAACATGGATGGAGTTCAGGCACCATAAAGTAGTGTATGCTTTAGGATTTTGTGTGTTACACTGTAAAAAACAACAACATTTGTTTGTTTAACTTAAAAAAAGTAAGTCACCTGGTTGCCTTAATTTTAAGTTCATTGAAATTAAAAATGTGAGTTAATACAATGAAGGAGATTGGTTTAATAAATAGAAACTCAAAATATTGTATTATCTGAACCACATTAAGTTGATTTGACAAACGATAAAAAGTTGTCATAAACCATGAAATGTTTTTTTACAGTGCACTTTTATGATTCTGTCATTTTCTTAAGCTTGGTGATTTACATTGTGTGATAAAGAGCAGCTCAGAGCCGGAGGTATTCGATTAAAAAAACTAAAAGAGTGGTTCCTTCACCCCATGCTATGTTAAAGATAAATTTGCCGAAAAAAGTAACAGACAACCAGCATTGTTGGCAGTGATTGAAGAATAAATTGAATAGCCATAAATAAAAGCTATTGGCTATAAACAGAGAGAACAATAACCTTTTTCAAAAAACGGGATGGATTCATCAGATGTTGACATTCCAGCTTATTTGTGCGAAGCAACGTGTCACAGTGTCACAGCATATGGATCGAACGTGGCAGAATGTTCTTCAAGGTTGTTTACTCAGAAAAATGCAATTGTTATTGAGAGTGCTAAATGTGGGCTGGAGTGAGAAACGAATGTGAGTCTGTAGGTGGCCTTCTCTTTTCCTTATCTCTCATTCTTTTCCTACACCGCCTCCCTTTCTCACTGTCAGAGCCGGAGCAGTTGTCAGTGGAAAGAAACTCAAGGGTAGTAGATGACATTTGTAAAGCATTTGCATGTAAGTGCTAAATTAGCAGTTCAGCGTTAATACTACTTGCGAATAGGCCAGGCCTTGACTTCTCGTGATGCGCGAACCGTATTTTTGGGGACTTCCGAATACTGAGAATGCGACAAACCCTTACTCAAAAACCATGGTAAAATAAATAAGCAACATTTGTCTTTCATTAGCCATGATTCATTTCACGCATAATGCTCGACCTCTATCATTAGACTAATTAACATTAGAGGAAAAAGTGACGTCAACCAGTAATGGATGTTAATTTGAAGAAGGCTCTGGGTGTAAAACACTGAATACAGCCATTTGCTGGTGCATAAGCAAATGACTCAAAACGAGCAAGACGGAGAAAGAGATCTGGTTTGTGGCCTCGTTTGGAGATGTTTTCTTTCACTCCTCTCCTTTGTGGCACGACCCCGCCGTCTCTAATCAGAATGACAGACAGACGCGCAGGAGAGAAAGAGAGGGGGAGAGACAGAGATGAGAAGAAAAAGAGACGGAGAGCAAAAGAGGAGTCATACTCCAAGCAAATGGGCCTTGGGAACATGCGAACTGGTACACGGCACTGTAGTGCTTCTTCAGCGCAGCACTAATGGGCAATTCACATATTGTTAGAACTTAATGAAAACCATAACCATGCGCCTACAGAAATAACCCTTTTTTGGGAATCCAAGAATATCAAAACGATGGAAGGACCTAGCAGTGTAAGTACGTCATAAAGATTACTCCAAAATGGATTCGTAGGGAAAAGAAATAGGTAATTTATGTGCTGTTTTTTCCATGGTAGGCTATTCTCAGAATCAAGGAGCGCTTTAACTCAAATCTGAACACTGACATGCACATAATCATGTAAAGATAAAGAGACCAAAGCCCTGTTGCCATGTCTGAAATCGCTCACTCATTCAATGAATCACCATTTCAGTGAGTGTTACATGCATTTTACCGCTTCGAAAGAAACAAATACTTTTATTCATCAAGGACACACTAAAATGATCTAAATATTAAGCAGCACAACTGTTTTCAACATTGATAATAATAGTAATTCAAATGTATTGAGCAGAAAAATCAGCATATTAGGAACTTTTGAACAGTAGTGTAGTTCACTACATGGGAAACAAGTGAAAGAAAAAAAACTAAAAGTGAATTGAAAATACAGCATTATAAATATATATTAAATGTAATTAAATATTACACTGTATTTTTTATCAAATAAATGCAGCCTTGGTGAACAAGAGAGACTTCTTTCAAAAACTTACTGACCCCAAACTTTTGAACAGTAGGGTAGTTCACTACATGGGAAATAAAGTGTAAGAAAATAACTGAGTGAATTGAAAATACAACATTAGACAAGAAAGATTAATGGCAAAAACGAACAAAAACATTATAGTTTGACTCACAATAATTTACCATTTCTTTAATCTATTGATGACTTATAAAATAAAAAAGAGAAATATCAGAACACATATATCATGTACACTCTAGCATCAGCTAGTATATATTGGTTGTACACTATAAATCAGAGTGCATTGTGGGTATAAAAGGCTATATCCTAAATCGCATACTCTAGCTAAGGTGAATTCAGGTTGATTGGGACACTCCTTGCCATTGAGATGACAATGAAAAAGTGTCTCAATCAACCTGAATTCATTCACCCCTACTTATTTTGAATAAGTAATTACTTCACGGCCGCAAAAAAAGTAGGTTCTATATAGTATGATTATGTGTAGTATGAATGTAATATGGACGTACTACATTTGCCATGTTGTCATTATCCTGTCCTGTGGCCTCATGGGATAGTAAACTGTCCATCGTTCACACACTTCAGAATCTCGCCGGGTCATCCGGGTACTTTTTGCCTACTCTTTTGTGAGTACTGTGAATTCAGACATACATCATTTGAGATGTACTGTATTTTGCATTTTGGATGCAGCCAATATGTGCACTATATAGGGAATTAAGAGCATTTTTGGACACAAACTTAACACCTTGAATTTTATGATAACCATCGAATTCAAACAATAATACCAATTTTTTACTCCTACCAATGCCCACATTCTAATGGCACACCCCTAATCCCAGTCATGTTGAATCTATATACTTGTCTTTCACAGAGACCAGATAGATGTCATAACAAATCAAAGTGTTTCTTCAGCCTGTTGTCCTTTACTTCAACTTCTCACCCGCTGACAAGTCTAAACAAAACCCCACAATCGCTGCAATTAGCTTCCTATCTCCCACACATTTGACGCCAATGATCACACGAGTATTCAGAACAACTGAGGAAGATTAATCACTGACAGCAAAAAGTACTGATTAATGAGCGGTCATTAAAACTTCATGTAGGACTGATCAAAGCAACGCATGTATGTGGCGGCCAGGTTTACCACGCAACAAATGGAAGGCCGTTGAGAAAAGCAGAATGGGGGAATGTTTCAGCAAACTAAAGTGAGCTATGATGAAGGAAATCTAATGATAATGCAATGGGTGTTCTGTAGGCAAAAGTGTCCTCTCTTTTAGTCATCTCCCAAATGTTAAGCTACTATAGTTCTAGTAGTAAATACCCCCCACTGACCCCGTGAAGGGGGCCCAATATACACATCCACATATGCATGCAGAATCCAAACACACACACTCAGACGCACAAAGGGAGCTTTGTGCACCAATGATGGAAGGTTCTTACGTGTGTGTGTGTGCGCATGTGTAATTGGTGGTATGAAGGTGTTTAAAGGTGTCAAGGTCACCAGCATGAGATATATACATATATATATATATACTTTTTCTCACAAAATTTTCAAAAAAGAAAAGAAAAACTATGGCATCTTATCTTCTAGCCTTCCCAGCTCAGAGAGAGAGAGAGAGAGAGAGAGAGAGAGAGAGAGAGAGAGAGAGAGAGAGACCGAGAGAGAGATATAGAAGTGCTGTGGGACCAATAGGGAGGTATTCTCAAGGGAATTGGGGATTAGGAAAGAGTGTCAGGGAGAGAGAGAAAGGAAGGGGTGGGGCTAAAATGCTAAAAGTGCAAGGGGTAAAAGCAGCAGCCCAAAAATGGAGGGGGAAGGGCATCGGGGGAAAGAAAAAAACGAGCGAGAGTTTATGTATACATCTCTGTGTGTGCGCGCGTAAAGGAGCATGTGAATAGACTCTTTGTGATCAAAAGACTTGTTTATTTTCTTGGCGCTTGAACTCTTCAGGAAACACATTTGGCCTGTCTCTCCGCTGTCTGCCACACTAACCTCATAACACACACCTTTGACTTAACACACAACTTCAGAGACAGATTTTACAGTGCTGCGATCCCAAAGACAATATCTCATGTTCAAACGCACATGTATATCTCAAAGGGATTCTTGATGTGGACCATGCAAATTGACGTCCATGTTTTCTCTTTCAAGTACACATAAACTCTCCCTCTCATTCTGTTCAGTGTCTCCTCACTCTTTGCTTCTCCTTGTCCCAGCTGGTATTCACACATTTCTAATAGGATTACCACACTTGCACTTTTGGGGAAGAGCAGATAGATGTAAACGAGGGATGATGGGGTGAAAGTAACGAGGTAGGGAAAGCGATTTATGGGGTTGCTGCTTGCATATGCAAAACTACACACTGCTAGGATGTTCAGAGTGGTTGCTAAGCTGTTGCTAGGGTGTTCCGAGTGGTTGCCAGGGTGTTGCTGCTATGCAGTTCCTATGGTGTTTTTGGTTTCTAGGATGTCGCTAGGCCGTGAAGGTGGTTGCTAAAC